GGCTGATTCGAAAGGTGTCAGTCATAGGACGGTGTCACCTTCATGCTTATTCATACAGGATCTGCCACACAGGGGACAGCTTGATCATGCCTAGAGGAAGAGAGGCAGCTTGTCAGGCGGTCCTCAGAGGACTGGGGCTGGGAGGCCCCGACACGTCCGAGATAGAGCCTCCCACTAGGAGCACCCGTTCCTCTGACTTTCCCTGCGCAGCCCCTGACACACTCAGTGTCCAGGCGCTGGCCCCCAATGGCCAGCTAACACCATTTTGCCTGGCAGCGAGCACTGGCACTCGGCTTTAAGGCCCCCCATCTCCCCCTCCTCAGACTCACCCGAGAACCCAGCACCAATGATGATGTTGTCGTACTTCGGGTGTCGATCAAGAATGAAGTGTTTGTCAGGGGTGTCCTAGAAAGAAACAGTCACACCTGTGTCCTTGGAGGACGGAGGGAGGAAGAACTAACTTCAGGCTCAGGAGGGAGAGGGTTAGGCTGGCTTCCTTTCCAGAAAGAATGGGAATGCGGCGCAGGAACGCTCTCTGCACGCCAGTGCCCCCTTTGGGTATGTCAGCCTTTCTCATTTGTCCATCTGCCTCTCTCCTCCACAGAGCCATGAACACAGTAGGTGCTCAGTTAATGCGCGCAAACGAACTTAGCCAAGATGCCTCAGGCCCTGGTGACATCTGTCTCTTCTCTTTGTCCCTAAGGCCCGGCTCGACTAGAACATCTTGCCAAAAAATCTTTTAGAGCCCTTCTGGGAGACATAGTGAAGGACTGCCAGGCGTAAGTCTAGTTTCCTAATGAAAAGGCATATGAATAACCTCTAATGGGCCCTCTCTGGTGGAGGTGAACCGAACCACAGAAATTAACTCATTTGTTTCAAGTCACATCCCATGTCAGGAGTCGAGGAGAGTCAAGCCTGAGCGGCGCCAGGCCAATCTGTCTCCTTCCCCTGCTCTCCGGGGCCGCCCGCCCCCTTACCGTGTACATGCAACGCTCCACCACGGCAGGCTCGGGCTCTAGGTCAGGTAAGTGGTCTCTGACAAAGCGGCTCAGGATCTGCACGTCCTGGATGTCTGAGAATGCTGCGGGGCAGTCCCGCTCCTCGGGATCCGCGTTGTTGCCGTGGTGATAGCAGACCTGGCTCCCAACCAGAGCAGGGTGAGTGAGCTGCGAGGGCCGACATTCCGCACACCCACCCAGCCCGGGGGACAGGCTTGTACACACAGTGCCCCCATCCATCATCCCAGCCTTCCCCAGTTCCTGACAAATGCTGCTTGCTGCCACGCTAGGTTGCCTAGTTGTTCATTCCCCGCCAACCCTCTGTTTGCAAAGGAAGGGCTCCCCTTGTGGGGCGCGGGGACAGCTGGGTGTCTTGCAATACAAGTCGTGAATAGTGAGTAGACGCCCGCTGCCGCCCACCGGGATCTGAGGGAGTCCGCTGGGAACCGAAGTGGCCCCGATTCTGTGTGGACCCCTCCTGGCCTCTCTCTGCCTTTCACTCACCTTCATCAGCCCTGGGTACTCTCCAGAGGGCAGCCCATAGATGTGGTGGGGAGCCAGGCTGAGGTCCAGGCCCAGGAAGCATGGAAAGGCCTGGGACACACCATAGCTTCCGGGAACCTTCTCTCGCCAGTAACACACATTGATCCGCAGGGTCTAGAAGCAGGGAGAGGAAGTGGGAGGTGAAAGGGGAAAGCCTTGGAACTCTAAAGACAACGCTGGGGTCTTACAGCCCTGCAATACAGCCCGGATGCCCCACTTCACTCATCTATCCCCTTTTAATCCAGTTCTCATGTCATTTGTGTGTTACCTTATATCATGATGCACAAAAATCTCTGAATCTCTCTCTTCTCCCACTCTTAGTCTTCTCCTATAACTAACAGCCTTCCTGCTTTCTCTCCAGGAGTTAACAATGCCTTCTATTTATGGAGTGCTTACAAGTGGCCAGACCATCTCCGAAGGGCTTTATGTATACCTTTTCATTTAATTCTCCAGCAGCCCTACCCCCCATTTTACAGGTTATACAACTGGAGGCTCAGTGAGGGAAACGAATTTGCCCAAAGTTGTCCACCAGTAAGTGGCCATCTGGCTCCAAAGTTTCTTCTCTTAAGCACCAACTCTCGGGCTTCCGAGTCCCTTACCTGGAGAGGCAGCTCAAGTCCCAGGGGACGGAGAAGCCTGTTGGTCCAAGGACCTGCCGTGATGACCAAGCTGTTGGCTTGGTAACTCTTACAGGTGGTTCTCACTATGATCGGTAGCCCTGGTTTTATCTCCATCACCTTCTGTCCATCACACACTTTGCCTCCTAGCTGTCGAATTGCATCCTGAGAGGACAGGACCAGAGAAGGGCAAATGGTTATATATGCAGTTCACCCTGGTGGACAAAGAGTCCTTTGCTTAGGGCAGAAAGGAGTGCAGATTCTAGACCTCCTCTCCCACATTGGCAAGACCTGGCAGGGTATATACAACTGCCCCGCCCAAAGGTCAAGACTAAAGCCAGCATGGCGAAGGCTCTCATCCAGTGGGGGAAGGCGGGTTGGGGCATGATTGATTGGGACCCAGGATGCCCAGATCAGGAGCTGCATTGCCCCTAATACTGCACAGTCTCACCTGAAGGATCCTGAGGGCCTTGGCTGCATAGAGAACTCCTCCAGACTCTTCCAAGAGTCCCATTTCTCCCTTGGCCAGACGAATGTTGGGGAAATGTTGCTTCAGTTCTTCAGATGAAAGACACTGGTGTTTCACCCCCCGCCTAGACAAAGTAGCCTGGGTTGCCTTTAATTCTTGATTCTCCTTTACTCCCAGCAGTAGTAGTCCAGTCTGCCTGGAGAGAGAGAGAGAGAGAGAGAGAGAGAGAGAGAGAGAGAGAGAGACCTGGGTGAAGGTTTGCGTCAGGGCCCTGGTCCATTCTCTCTCATTCTTCAACAAGGGTCCCAGGGCCAGGCATTAAGGAGAGTCCCAGCCTCCCATTAAAAAAAAAAAAAAAACCACAAACAAGTGAAGTTATCTCAACTCTGTTGCAAGAATCACAGTGTTACTGAGCTGGTTTCCAGGCCATTCCCAAGTCTGCCCTTGTCTCTCACTCCTATCGGTTTGCTTGTTTCTCCCTCATCCCTCTCAGGATATCCATTCTGACTTTGAGGGCAAAGATCCTAAGTCCTCTTTTATTTCCACACCTAGAAAGTGGTAGGTGTTCAATGAGTTTGATGTGATCTCTTCCCTTCCTCCCATCCCCTGACCCTATCTATTCACTGTTTTTCATCTTTACCCTTTACCTCCTCCCCCACCCCTGCTCTTTCTTTTCTCTGTCCCTTTTCTTGTCAGGTAATGTTTTGTCCCTTCCTTGTCTGTCTGTCTCTCTGTTCCTTCTTCGAGGCTGCGCATTTTGTGGAAAGGGTCCTACATTGGGAGGTCTGGCTCTGGGGCCAGTCCCAGCATCCCCTGTGACCTTGCTCTGGTTTCTCCAGGCCCCAGGTTCCTCCTCTGTGACAATGTCTATTGGACTATTGGTGGTTCCACATCAATGTGCACCATCGCCAACCCAGGGGCATGTGGAAATGTCATGGGCCTTTTTTTTTTTTTTTAGTTTCACAATGCCTGGGGGTTGCCATTCACGTTTAGTGGACAAGGACCAGGGATGCTAACCCTGCGATGCCCAGGAAGATCCCACCCAAATGCCAATGGCACCTTCATGCAGAAATGCCAGTCGATGGCCTCTTAAGGCCCCAGCAATTAATTTAGTGATTCTACAATGTTGTTTCTCCTTATACTTCCCTCTGTGCTTCCTACTCACTACGGGAGTAAAAGCGGTTTCTCTGTAATGCTTCTGTCTCTCGTCACAAGAAACCAGAGATCCCTTTTTTTTTTCTTTTGTGGAAACTGATCTAAACAATGGAAAGGTCACTTCGGCCCTGGGAACCATTCCTGTCATCGCTCTCAGTTTCAGCAGCCGTAGTGACTGGCATCAGCCTGGTACATCCTCCGGGTACCGCATATAAAGCTCGTAATAGCCTATAATGGAGTCTCATGGATATTACATGCTTCCAAATCCCACATTATCTGGTTGGGGGGATTAAAGAGAAGATTGGGAGGGGTTAGGAACACAGCGGGCCCCGGGGCTGGTGTCAGTACACAGAGCCACGCAGCGTGCCCAATTCATTTGCCATGGCCCCCGCCTACCCAGCGTTCACCGCTGGTGAGAAAGCAATAAGTACCTCTGCCTCTTCAAAGCTCAGCAGAGGAAGGATGCTAGAGAAATCCCCGCTAGCAGCAGACGGCCTTTTTCCTGTGGCCCCAAAAAAGAACCTCAGATAGGTGCTCAGCTAATGGAAACTTGCCTAGTAAACATCATGGTCAACAGGATAATTAAGAAGTCACCCAAGTGTATGTTCTTGAACCCTTTTTACCCGATGGGGTTGTAGCTGGGTAGAATTCTGGGAAAGACTTTGGCTTAACCCCTCCCTATAGCAGTCAGATCGCTGGCCTGGAAGTAGAACCCATAGCCTAACCCTGCCTGCAATGTATCAGCCTTGGTCCCTCATATGCTCTCAGATTTAGTTCCTTTCCCTTCCTCCCTCCTCCCTGCCTCCCTCCCTTCTTCCTTTTCTTTCTTCCTTCCCTCCTTCTCCCCTTCCTTCCTTGAAATAAGAACCCCTCTCACAGGAACGTACAGTACAGGGGAAATGAACGCAGGCCAAGACAACGGGCCGATCTGCTGAATTATGAAATGCTGAGTGACGTTCTCATTCCCAAGCCGTCCTGTGGCGGGTGAAGCGGGGGCGCCCCATCCTGAGGAGTAATCAGCGAGCCGGTTCTGCCGGCGAATGTAATTGTGCCGATCGTAATCATTTTGCTCCCGCTCTCTGCCCCTGTGGCATTTATTTCTTAGTCCAGATATTGATCTAACAGTGGGAACTTTTCCATCTGAATCGGTGATGCCGGACCCTCCCCTCGTCCGAAGATGCGTTTGGGAAATTCTCATTTTCCGTGGATCACGGCTGAGCTATTTGGCCTGAGGGAAACCGGTGCCCTGCCGGAGAAGCGCCTCGGATTGGAGAGAGATTTTTTTGACCATTATGAGCAAATCGGAAATAAATGTAAAACACTGCCTGGAAATGCAAAGGCCTGTCATTATGGGAGATAGGTGAGAGGCTCCTGTGGGAAATGCTTAGAGAATTGGAAGTCAGTCAATCAAAACCGGGATGGGAGAGTGGGCCTCTATTCCCGGTATGAAGATAGATGACTTCCATGGGCAGATTGAAAATCATTTAAGTGCTTATTTTTTTTAATGGCTTTTCTAGATCCCAATAAACAGACTGCTCATTCTGCATCAATTTCTCGCCCCCGTGCCCTGGGCCTCCCTCTCCTCTTTTTGGCTCTGACCTAGGCTACAAAATTTGGGGAGGCGTCACAGGAAAAAGAAATGCCCAGAAAATGACTGGTCAGGGCTGGCCTAGCAAGAAGGCACCCCGAGTGAGGCTGGGGGTTCAGGAAACCCTGGAAAGAGTGCAGCTCCCAACTCTTCGAATGTCCTCAGCTGAGTGCAAAGCATTTGGTATGAATCGCGCCTTCCTCCCAACCCCAGCTGGACCCGGCACGAGGAAGAGGTAATCAAAGATTCCTCCCAAGGCTCACATCAACTCGACGGCCCCACTAAAGCCACGGAGTTGGTGATTAGGGATTTCTCCCAGTTACTATAGCAGGACGGGAGGCAAGATGGAGTGGGGAGGAATTGGGGGGGAAGGGCAGACATCTCGCCCCACATCTGCCAAGTCCTAGCCCCGTCTCCAGCTTCCCCCTCTCTGGGTTAAAAGTACCAGGCAAGCCAGCTCTCAGAGTCACCTTGGGGAAGGGATTCAAGTAAGGACTGGGTGGTGGCTGCTGTCTTTGTTGGTGCTGGAGGAGCTCCTGGCGTTTCATCTTCTGCTCAGTGGGCCGAGGTGGAATCGGTTAACAAAGACCGCTCCAGGGAGGGGATGTGGCTGACAAGCCAGACACTTCGCAGACACAGGAAGCAGCAGCTGCGGAGGGGGCCACCAGGTTCTGCCAGCAGCTGTACTGCCTACGGCTGTGATCTTATCTGATATTGTCAGCTAAGCAGGGGCAGCCGGGGTCAGGAGCTAGATGGTAGGCCTCAAAGGGAAAAGGCGGGGCAGGGAAGAGAGGGGCCACAGAGCTGGGATTTGCTGTTGCTATCAACGTCCTGGCTGTACACATCACAACGATTCAGACCTTGTGATCTGACACGTGTCACAGTCTGTTTCCAGAATACATGCAAATATCCCGAGCTCACCCATGTTTAGTATGCCACTGTCACAGGAAGCGACAGAACAGAAGAAAAGGAATTGAGCAACCGCCTCACCTACCAACTCCTGAAGGTGTTATTTTTTTAAAATCATCATCAAATAGCATTAAGTAAATGCATCCATATCTATCAGTTAGATTATGATATTGTGCTAGTTCTTCCAGAAGGACCTGTTACTATATGATCCATCACGAAGATGATGGATCATTTAGAAAATCCGAATTAAGAACAACAGCTAAAGGAATTGGAATGGGAAGTATCTGTTCTGTGTCCTCTACTAAGTTAAAGAACCAAATAAATTAGTGTGCCTGAGTAAATTAGGTTAGCCATAGAAAGGACTTGTCAATAATAATAATACAGAACACCTAACACTCCATAGGACTTTTAAGGTTTTCAAAGCACATTCACTTTACTCTTCTTTTTTCATAATTGATGCTGTGAGACATCAGAACGGTCTTTTAAGGAGGGCTATGTATGTGTCTGTCTTTAAATGTACCATACATTAGCAGTCTTCTGATCTGGGATGATTTAGCAATAAACTTGTTTGGAGACAGGAGGTAGACAAAGTAACCAATTTGTGGTATCTTCTAAACCAGGGGGCCAGCAAACTATGACCCAGGGGCCAAGCCAGGCCTGACACTTGTTCTTGTCACAAGCCAAGATGGTTTTTGTATTTTTCAATGGTTGATAAAAAGCAAAATTTCATGACATGAAAATTATATGAAATTGTTGTGTCCATAAGGAAAGTTTTATTGGGACACAGCCATGCTCATTTGTTGCAACTATATTCTCTGTGGCTGCTTTCACACTGCAGTGGTAGAGTTGAGTAATGGGCAAAATTCAATAGCTGCAACAGAGACCATATGGCCTGCAAGACCTAAAATACTATTTGGCCATATACAGGAAAAGTTTTCCAAACCCTGCTCTAGACTATAAGAATTCTGTGATTTGCACTAATGGGTTTAGGCCCTGACTAGTCAGTAGCAACCCTCTAATGAGATTTAATGAGAATTAAATGAGTTAAAAAATATCAGGTAGTTTTAGAACAATTTGACTTTCTTACTATAAGCACTAAATATGTGATGATGATGATGCTTTGTCTAAGCCCTTTTCATACTTATCCTCACAACAGCCCCTGAAATAGATATTATTACTCCTACTTTACAGATGAGAAAACTGAGTCTCAAAGACATTAAACAATTTGCTCCAAACCACACAGCTAAAATGTGTCAGAGCTGATATCCAAAGTCCTGTCCTCCTGCCAAAGAAGATTATGAAAATATGAGCATCTCCTACCCAAGGGTGCCTTCCCCTCTCTCCCTTTCCAGCAGCCTTTCCCCTTGATGTTCTTGGCTGCTGCATCCCACCTGTCTCCTCCTGCCCTACTTCCTCCCTGGCTCAGTTGAGATAGGATGTGGCTAACCCAAAACAGGTGGGAGGAACTGCCATTTATTGAAAAGTGCTAGGCACTGTGCCAAGTATTTCACAAGTCTCGTTTAATCCTCACAAAACCCTGTGAGAAAACATGAGACACAGAGAGGTACAGAAACTTTCCCAAGGTCACATAGCCGGTAAGAGGTAGAGCACAAAGGCAAATTCAAGCCTTCTGACTCCAGACACTCTTCTTCTTTCTAAAAATATTTTTTTATTGATTTCAGAGAGGAAGGGAGAGGGAGAGAGAGAGAGAAACATCAATGATGAGAAAGAATCATTGATTGGCTGCCTCCTGCACGCCTCCTACTGGGGATCGAGCCCGCAACCGGGGCATGTGCCCTTGACTGGAGTCGAACCCAGGACCCTTCAGTCTGCAGGCTGACGTTCTATCCACTGAGCCAAACCGGCTAGGGCCAGACACTCTTCTAACGTCTCTTTTAGTCGCCTCCTTGTCTACTAGGAAGAAGTTTGCCCTCCAAGGCTCAGCATTTCTTTTAGCACAAGAGACTCAGCAGTATTCGCAGATGGCTGACAGACAGGGGTCCCTTTGCCAGGCCGCCCCTCAGCGGGACATGCTCCTTTATTTGGGTGCTGGGTGCATTAGCTGCCTCTGGAATCAATCTGTAATTAGCTGCCCTCGCTGTATTTGCATAATGGATTTCACTTTGTTCTTAAGTTAATGGTGTTTTTGCAACAGAACAGTAACCTCTTGGTTCCTGTCCATTAAAATAACTGCCACCCTGTAGGGTAGAGCTAGAGTTTTGTAGGAAGTTCAGTTAAGAGCCACAGAGATCAACCATAAAAATAAAAAAGAAGGGGGAAAAAAGAGCCACAGAGAAGATGGGAGCGGAGGTGGTTGGGTGGTTAACGTTCTCTGTGTATCACAGGCTTTCTTCCCCACGAGCGTGTGAAAGGTCAGTTAGGAGGGGGCCTTGAGGGTTGTCATGGGGGCAACAAGGAAAGAGCTGCAGGCTCACTCCCTGGCAAGCCATGGGGTCTGAGGAGCATCCCTACTTTGTTCCATGGGAGGAGGCGTTCAGAGAGAATAAAATGGATTTATAGGGGTCACTCTGGGAGTTGGGAGCTGCACCCAGCATGAAAAGTTATGATACTAGTAGGAAGATAAAGAATCAAGACAGCAGCCTCCTGTTCTATAACCATCCCTGCCCTAACAGAATCTCAGATGGCTTCAGGGAGATACAGACACGACCTCGACTAGCCTTGGACACATGGTCTGAACCAGCCCTGAAACTCAGACCCCGGCAGGAGCCATCTGGACCTGTGGGTGATCATGACGGTGAGCAGAATGCTTCCATGTAACTGGCACTCCCCTAGGCCCTGTGTCCCTCCATGGCATTTCAATGTGCACGGCACTGCTCCCTCACATCCTAGAAGCACCTCCAGGTGCCAGGCCCCATGATTCAAGGAATTCTTCAACCTGTATAATTGGGTTCCAGCTTCGTGCTCCAGCTGGGCCCATATCTGGTAGCACTCATCCATCATCTGGGTGTAAAACTCTTCAGGGTATGCCCTTCGGATTATCCGGCTCTGCCCGTGGGAGCTTCCTCGGGAGTGTGGTAGAAAGAACTGGAAGTGGAAAACAAGAGAGGCAACTGAAGCTGTTACTCCTTGCACTCCCCCGCCCCCCCCACGCCCACCTCCCACCCCCCTTTAAAAGCCAGCTCATCAAGTCAACCAGGAGCTGTCAATCAAGAGCACTTATTCTTTAAATATTTCCATACATTCTCCCTTTATGACCACGTTCCTGATCTGGCTGTCAGAACAGAAGTTCTTCGGCTTCCTTTTTTGCTAACATCATTCACATCCCCGAAGCCCCTTCGTTAGTGTGTCTTCAGTCATCCTGCTGCTCCCCCATCCTACTTAGAGGCACAGAGAAGCAGAATTAGAAAGGGCCTTTGAGATCATTCTAGTCTAGCCCCTCATTTCATGGACAAGGAAACGGATGCTGACTATTTCCCTGTGGCTTCGGATCACTCAGGACAAGGAAACCACTTGGGATTTAGCAAAAAATGGAGAGTTGCCTGCAAGGTTGAACCAAGAATCCCTCGGGCTTTGAGAAAAAATGACAGAGAAATACAAAAAGGTTTCCAGCCCTAGCCAGTTTTGCTCAGTGGATAGAGCATTGGCCTGCGGACTGAAGGGGCCCGGGTTGGATTCCAATCAAGGGCACATGCCTAGGTGGCAGGCCCAGTCCCCAGTAGGGGGTGTGCAGGAGGCAACTGATCGATGATTCTCTCTCATTATTGATGTTTCTATCTCTCTCTCTCCCTTCCTCTCTGAAATCTATTCCTCTCTCCCTTCCTCTCTGAAATTTCCAACCAATCCAGCTTATTACCCAGAAGAATCAACCAAACCAGGCAGAAGGGGAGGGGAGAAATCTTTGGCAGGTGAGCTGGGTGGACATGTCCTGGGAAGAGCCCTGTAGACAGGCATGCCCACCCACATGTGCATGGTCACAGTAGACAGCGCTGCCTGGGGTCACCTTTTCTATAAGGAAAACTAAGTCTTATTTCCTGTGCATCGGACAGGCGGCTGCTATTATCTGGAGGCGGCAGAAAAAACAGAAGCCCCCGCTGGGTGCCAGGGTGAGAGGCCAGGAATGTGCAGGGAAGAATCCTACCTCTGAGGCTGACAAATCAGCCTTGCCTCCAGACAAAATTAGCTTTACTTAAGGTTACCCAAAGCAGAACTGATTCTTTTTCTGGGCCAGATCAACCATTTTGGCACAGAAGAGAATGGATAGCAAGAAGGAAGAGGATAGGGCCTGGGACACTTCTTGATCAAGGGCAGGAACTGGGCAGGCGGGGGGCGAGGAGCGGGGGTAAAAGGAGAAAATACACCTAGAAACCTGACATGGGTCTTGGAGGGGGGGGGGGCGCGATGGACTTTCTTTGCATTGTGATGATGCACACCAGGCAGCTAAGCTACAGATGGCACAGAATTTGTGATGACCAGGCCCTTTGGCCTGGCCCCACAGCCTGCCAGCTCTGGGAACCTCTCTCTAGGGGAGAGACAGGGACAGTCCCTAAGGTCAGGAGCACAGAGGGGACACAGTACCTGCTCCAGCAGGAGAACGCGCTTCCCGTGCTTGGCCAGGTGGTATGCAGTGAAGCAGCCCTGGATGCCCGCCCCGATCACAATGGCATCGCAGAGGTCATTCTGAGCAGCCATGATGCCCACTTAGCCCCACAGCCACAGAGCCCACACACAAAGGAGAGGGCGAGCAAAGCGGGGCCCTGGGCTGAAGGAGGAGGAGTAGGGCAAAGTCCAGCCTGGCCAGCATTCCCACAATCCCCTGGGGCGGTGTCCTTCTCCCCTCCCCCAAAGCCTGGCACCGGGCTCGGCCTGGCCTCCCCTGCAGAGCAGAGCTGGGTAGTCTGATTTGTGAGGGTTAACCCAGCTCAGCTGCCAGCCTCACCCTTTCATCTCTCTAGCTTTCTATTCTTGGCTCAATTATTGTCATGCAAATGGGCTCCTTCCTTTGCCACCTTCCTGTCTCATTATGATCTTTGTCTCTGGGACCTCGGCCCTGGAATTTCAATGCCTCCTAGACCAAGCTGGGCACCAGGACTGCTGCCTCCCCCTGCTGGCTTTCCTCTCTTCAGCCTGGTTTCCTTTGAAGATTCTAGAGGGCCGAACTAAGAACTTGGCACTATGCCCAGGATAAGGTCCACCTCCCTGGGGGTGGTGAGGTCAGGGGCTAGGTGCTGGGGCCAATTGAGAGGGCAGCCTTGTGATTATAAAATTACTCTCAGCGTGTTTTACTTTCATTTTGTCTAAAAGGGGAAGAAGAAATGATCCTGAACAAATGGAAAGGACAGAGTGAGAGGAGCAGCCTTCTCCTGAGCCACAGGCAGGGGGCCAGGCACCAGCCCAGGGCATGGAGGGGCCCATGCAGCGCTCCCTCTGGGCTAGGCAGTGTGCTAAATAAGTTCTTCCACATGCATTTGGGACGGAGCCAGGATGGGTAGGGCCTAATTCTCATATGATTTGGCGGTCCTCTTTAAGAAGAGGAAAAGGAAAATGATGAATACAAAATTAGGTGCTAGGACTTGGAAGAAACCATGCAATTAAGGAGCCCCCTGGTTGACGTTTCATTAGCTTCACGGTGAAACTGCCTCCGCATGCATTGTCCTGCTTAATCCTTACAGCCCTAGGCGCAAGTATTTTTATCCCCACTTTTGGCAGGTTAAAGATGACCGAATTCTCTGTCACTCCTCCTATCACAGGCTCTGTGATTGCTTGGCCAATAGAATATGGCAGAAGTGACAATGGGACTCTTTCTGGCCCAGGCCTTCAGAGACTGGGAGCTCCCTCTTGTCTTGGAGCGCTCACTGCTGGAGTCCTGAGCTCCCATGTTAGAAGTGCAGCCGCCCTGTGGGAGGGGCCACGTGGCGAGGCCCTGAGACTACATGGAGAGCCAGACGTAAGAGTGAAGCCATCTTGGACCCCAGCCCAGCCCAGCCCAGCCACCACCTAAATACCACTGAGTGACCCAACGTATGCCTCATGGAGCAAAAGAATCACCCAACCAAGCCGAGTCTGAATTCCTGACCTGCAAAATCACAAGATGGGATAAATACGATCGTTGTTTTTAGCCATTATGTTTTGGGGTGATTGGTTATGCAGCCATGCCAAAATACCACTTTACAGCCAAAGACATCCAGGCTTACAGAGGTTGTAACTCACCCAATGCCACACACCTGCTAAACCCAGGCACTGAGGTGTGAACCCAGGTGTGCCTGCTCCAGAACCTTAACCACTGTGCTATAGTGGGGAATAGTCAGAACTTGTCATGATGATTCTAATTTGAACATTTTGCTGTTTCTCTCATGGCCATACTGTCAGTGGGAGAAAAAATGGACCGGGATATCCATGTGAACTCAGGGAGCTGCCAGTGAAAGGGTGAGGGCTATGCCCTCCATCTTACCCCGTATCCTCCATGTTGGGGTAGGAGCCATGTGCTCAGACCCCCCTTCTTCCCGGAAGCCCAGGCCTCTGCTGGCCACGCCCGAGATTTCTTTAAACTAACCAATGACAGTTGAGGGATGTGCGAGCCATAAGAATTACCGCATCCTATGTAACAAGACCCGGCTTGCGCCTGGCCAATCGGCAGGGCCCACAGTCCCCTCACTCCACCCCCTATTAAAACCCTGTTTTTTCTCACGGCGATCTCTCTCCCCCCTTCTTGCCGTTGGGTCAGAGAGGGCTGGGAGCCAGACCCGGGTCTGTACTAATAATAATAAAGGACTCTCTGCTTTTGCATCGGACTTGGCTGGCTCCCTGTTGGTCTGTGGGGATCTTGAAATCTGAGCATAACAGCCAGGCCTCTGTTCAGCGGCCGCCCCCAGCAAAGAATGCCCCTGAGTGACCTTGGCCACAAGCTGTCTTCTCAGCCCAGCCCTTGCTTTTCTAGGAATCTAGAAGCCCAGAGAGGAGGTGCCATATGACTGGATTTCTTTTTCCTTCTAAAAAAAAAATTACTCTAGAATCCATAAGTCATCTCAGCCCCACCTCACCCCAACCCACAAGGCACAGATAACATCCCCCTCCCAATTGGACAGCTCCCACAGGGTAAAAAATGGCAAGCATAACCGAGAAAAACGTACTATTTAAGTACATATAAAGGCTTGATATAAATATATAAGGTCAGCCCCCAGATTTCTCTTGATAAGATGTCAGAGGAGATAAACCGTTTACACACAAGGAAAAGCAGATAGTAAATCCTCGCATGGAAGTGTGCCCAGCCTCACTAGCAATGAAAGAAATGGAATTAAATAACTTCAAGGCACGATTATGTGCCCATTAAGTGAACAAAAATAAATAACAACGATAACATCTGACGGTGTCAGTGCTGTGGGGACGGAGAGGAGGGTGGCAACCCAGAGTGTCCGGGGACCGCGCAGAACGCTGGGGCAGTGTGCACGAACAGTGAAATCGTTTAAACCTTCTGACCTAGAAATCTGACTTGGGGAACTATACCCCGAGGAAATATCAAGGGGAGAAAAAAACATTTGTATGAAGACATTTACAGCTGTGCTCTTAGAGTAGAAAAGATTGGAAACAGCCGGCCACGGGGAATCGCTGAACAAACTCTGGCACGTGAACACAATGGAATACTATGTGGCGGTTCAAAATGACAGGCGCAAGGACGGTGGGCTCCGCAGAAATGTGTACGGTATATGAAATCACACTGAGGAGGAGAAGCAGGGTACAAACAGACACACAGATCACAACCCCTAGTCACGTGTGTGTGTGTGTGTGTGTGTGTGTGTGTGTGTGTTAGCAAAGATCTAAAGAGACTCTGGCGAGGTAATTGAGCTTAATGCTCATTAGTTTCCGTATTCTACAAAAATTGTGCTTCCATTGACAATTTGTGAAAGGAGGAGGAATCCCCCGGGGATGCAGATGCTTTAGATCTCCCCGGTCCCTGGTTCCGGGGTCGGGGCAAGTTCTTTCTTTGTTCTCACCTCCGTTTTGCCGGCTGCCCAGTAACATTTCTTATTGTTCGTCCTCCAGAAAAGCTACAAAGCCG